ACTATTTAAATAGCCTGCAGTTCAATGGATTTTTTGTTGGCCATTTTTTGAATGGTTCTTTGTTGGAGAAATTGGGGGCTACATAATATTATTTATATTGTAGTATTTATATTTATATAACGAGCTAATTTGGAATAGTGACGAAAGACACCAAGCTAGAAACTGGGAAACTGGGAATTCTAGTCCTGACTAAGGCACAAAATCAAGGGAATGACTTTGGGGCAGTCAATTTCCCTCAGCTCTAGGAAGAAGGCAATGGCAAATCACTTTCAAAAATCTTCCCAAACTGCATGGACTTGTCCAAACAATGACCACTAATGACTTGAAGGCACTAAATAAATAAATGCGTATAGTTATTATTCTTTTACATTGTCCAATGTATTTTATACAAATGACAATCTTTCAGTTTGCAAAAGCCAATGATTGTTTGGTTCTTTACATTATTTCAAACACTAACAAAGCATTTACTTTAAGGAAGTAGTCACAAATTTTATATTCAATGTTAGGATTTAAAAGTCTTAAGGTTTGGTTATATATCAATATATAATTTGCTATAGAACAAACCTTAGCAAATCCCTCTTTTCATTAGAAAAATTATAATGCTATTAAATCCAAGCAATGTTTATAAAATGTTGCAAGTGTATTTATAGTACATTTCCCGCATTTCTGAACGAAGAACTATATTACGTTAATTGTAGGAGTTGGTAGATATTTCTTCTATATTAAAAATGTTATGAGAGAAATGTTCTAGCATCTATCTATCTAATAAGGCACAGTAGAAATTAAATTCATGAATACATGAAAGTATTAATTCATTGTTTTTCCAATCAGTGGAACAGTTAACTTGCTTTCCTTTCTGTTAATTAGTCTCAGATTTCCAGGTAGCTGTTGAAATATGTCTGGAATAGAAAGTGTATGGGAGAATATTAATCATGAGACTACCAAATCATATTCGAGCTGCAAAAGAAATAGGTCCACATTTCTATTTAGGGCCATTTTTTTTTTAAAAAAGTGTAATACCCAGGGAGGAAGCTCTATTTTGCATTTCTGGAGCATATTTGGTTTATGATTGGTATAAATCACAGGTGTCAAACTCGCCGAGTCACATGATGTGTCGCGACGTATCACGACTTTCTTTGCATTGTTGGAGCTGGGATGAGTGCGGCCTCCATATGATGCAACCGGCCCCAAATTTGCATTTGTAACAGGATGGGATATGGTGTGTTTTGCCCTCTGAATCCAACTGCTCTCTCCCCCATACATGGGGACTGCCTATTTAGTAATGCTGCCAGCCAGATCATTTTCTTCAAAGAAATTCCTCTCTGTGCTGATTTTACTCAGAAAGTAACTGGTAATTCTATCATTTTTTAATTAGTAATTTAACTGGATATAAGAAACACATTCTAAGTCTAGAATCCTTGTCAAAATGAGAGTCACTGATTCATTATTAATTCATAATTTATGATTAGGGGATTGGAAGCTAAAACATATGAAGAACGGTTGCAGGAATTGGATATGTCTAGTCTAGTGAAAAGAAGGACTGGGGTGGTATGACAACAGTGTTCCAATATTTTAGGCGTTGCCACAAAGAAGAGGAATCAACCTATTTTCCAAATCAGCAGAAGGCAAGACAAAAAGCAATGGATGGAAACTAATCAAGGAGAGAAGCAACCCAGAACTACGGAGGGTCTTAGGATCTCCTATCTGAGCAGGGGATTGGACTAGAAGACCTCCAAGGTCCCTTTCAACTCTGTTATTCTATTATTCCTAATGAGAAAAAAAATAGGATTGTGAAGAGGTTCTCTCTCTCCGGGGGAAGTCCTCCAACCCGACAGGAGAAAGGCTAGCTACACCTCGGTGACTAGTCCAAGCTACCGGCAGCTGAAGTCCAAAAGCATTAATCAGAACGTGCTTGGAACTGGGTGAGAATATCAATCTTCTCTCTCCTATTTTGTAATTGATTTCCTGGAAAAGATCCCCAAGAAACAAAAAATCGTCCGAAAGTGAGAAGGGAGGGGAAGCAACAAATTAATTTTTATGGGGGACAGAAATATATTGAAATGAAATTAATAATACTACAGTCTGGATAAATCTGCAAATTATGAAATCTGTTAAGATTTTACATCAGAAAGAGTATTGATGAAAATATAAGAAAATAATTCTTTGTTTTAAAAGTTGGAAAATGAATAGCTACTGACATTTAGTGGAGGATTAGAGCATAAAACTACAGCTGCATTGACTCAGAAGTTGGCAAGACACCCAGAAATAGAGAACAACTTGTTCCTTTGAACCTCAGTGACTTCTACTCAAATACAGAACAGCTGGGAACAAAGGGAGAAAAATACACTGGGCTATCTACTATAGAGTAAGAACTACATTTGTTTTAAAAACTGTTGACCTTCTGGGATTATAAATACTTACTGAGCTGTGATTTCTAGGCTCAAGAATTGTTTGCAGAGAAAGCAAAACCTTGACTTTTGGCTAGTCTTCTAGGGGGGAGTTTACTGGAAAACTCTTAGGTGGTTAAACACTCTGGACTGAAATTTTGGCTGGCTGACAAGTGTAAGACCTCTGAACAGAAGAACGGTTACAAAATACTGCTTTCAGTGGCGCTTTGACAATTGGAAACACATTGGATTGTAAAAACCATATATAAAGAGAAGAACTATATAAAATTTGGTTGTTTGGCTTTTAAGATTGGCTGGTTTGACAAGGCTAATTACAGAAACTATGGTACCAGTGAAAGACTATCTGGAGGAGAGAGATAAAATGGATGTTGCATATTTATCTAAAACTGACAGGAAACCACACCTAATATTCTCTTCTGAAGGCTCCAGCCTGCAACATCAGAGATCTGCAGGAGCAATACTCCAAGACAAGACAAATACATTCCAGGAGAAAATGTATGCAATGCTGTGACAGATTCAAATGACAATTGCTTCAAATCATAATGAGATTAAAAACACCTTTGATGACATAAATGAGCACATCTTTAACCTAAACTTACAATTAAAAAACTCTCAGAAAACGATGATAAAGAATGAACAAACAAATCAGATAACAGAACGCAAACTACAGGAAAGTGATCCAAATAGGGAAGCTGCAAATGAAGAGAATTATAACCTAATACAAAAAAGAAAAGAAAATCTGCAAGATTTTGCTACAACAATGAAAATGGAAAAAATATTTTATCTTTCAGGATTCCAAAACAAACTTGAGGATAAGAAAGAAGATCTAACAAAATGGATTATAGAGCTGCCAGGAGAACCATTACTGTTTGGGAGACAAAAAACACACATCCTACTTAATTTGTCTTTCCTATTCCCAACAACATTCACAAAAATACAGGAAGAACCCCCTGGCAAGCTGAACATACTGACTTGGAAAGCTACTTGACAAAAAAAGAAGGCTAGAGTTAGATTCAAGAGATTTGATTTACCAGATGGAGTACTATATGATTAAACACTTGTTTGAATATGGTTAAAAGAATAGATACATTTTGGATATAAAGGGGCCCTACAGTAAGAGGGATAAGATATAAAAGTAGTATAGTATCTTTCATAATATATGAAAAGTAAAAATATTGGGATGGTGTATATGAATGAAAAGTTTGGATATTTAAAGGTTATTAACATTGAAAAAATCATGACTGATAAGAATGGTTTGAACACTGAGAGGAAACTAAGCTTAAATAATGTGTCCTGAAAACAGGACACATAGTGACTCAATAAGATGACCTTTATAAATACAATAGAAACATAAGCCGATTAGAAAAGATGTTATATGTTGATGTTATTGTTATTTGTACAAACACAAGAAAAATATGCTTATATGCATTGAAAGTATTAAGAATTATATTTGTTTAATCTTGACAAAAGGAGAATACTACTGGAAGAAGAGAAGATCAAGGAAACATATCATTAACTAATATATTGACTATGGAATTATAGAAATTAAATATTGATTATTTTTAAACTCAAACAACACGCTATTTGCTAAGCACTAAAGACTGTTATTGTTAAAAATCAATAAAATATATTTTTAAAAAAGGAAGGATCAGAGATTTTTTTCCCTCTACTATTTTGTGCCTGAATGTTTTGGATTTGGATTTCTCCCAATTATTTCCCTATGTTTGTAATATAAATGTGATGGCAATACAGTAGTGAAGGCCAAATCTGACTCTAAGCTTGTGCCTCGGTATGCATATTTTTCCAATGAAAGAGACCAAGACAGGAAGATCCTTTTATTACAATTTTGGGATGTTAAAATTTAGCATGTTAATAAGGATAGACTATTTGGAGTTCATGAAGAGACACACCAGATGACAATTAACTCTCTTATCCAAAGACAAACTACAGTCATCCTGTTAAAACTAACATAGTTCTATCCTATCCTGACTTGGAGAGCAAAGACAGTTTTTATCTTGCAGTTTAGGAATGTTCCAGTAACAGAACAGAGACCTTTCTACATTCCAGTCTGCAATGGTCTGGTAAACCATTAACATCATTTAAAAGAGAAAAATAAGCCAAATTAAAACACAAAATAACTATGTTGGTTAGCAATTACACCAATACTACAAAGTCCATGTTGGTTCTATAAAGTTCACATTTGTGTGGCTTTCAATATTCATATATTTTAAGCAATAAACCGGATGACTTACTTGGGATTACTCCAAAGTATTGCCACAGATTTTTGGGTGGGGATACAAAATATTATTCCAAGAAAGTGTGCTTTATTAGATTTTCTATTTTAGTTCATATGGAACATTCAGTTAATTTAGCAATACCTATTGTGTACATTGTTTAAATAATGTATCTTATTTGTACAAAAGTTAAACTCAATGTTTTTAGGCTTTAGGATACATACACATGTATGATTGATTGATTGATTGATTGATTTTCCATATATGTATCCAGACTTTAATTTTAAGCAAACTGAAGAATAGCTTGTAGGCTGATAAATTATTCAAACATCATGATTGTCTTTTTCCTTCTGTGCAGTCAAATTAATACTTCAAGCTGAAGAGAGAGGTGTGGTGTCAATCAAAGGTATACGTGCAAACCGTTTCCTTGCTATGAATGAAGATGGACGATTGTTAGCATTGGTAAGCAGTTGTCAATACATTTTATTTTTTCCGTTCTCATAATTAAGGCTTTAGGATAACAGGGTTTAGAATAAAGATCTTATATTTTATGGAAGCTAATTTCTAGGGTATTGCAGAATGCTTTCTAAAAATGCTAAATTTTTGAAGAACTTATGGATTAACATAGTCTCTACTTTTAAAGTTCTTATCCCACAGCTCTTCTTTTCGTCTTCAACATGTTAGTTTTTACTATAATGGAGTCATGTTTGTCTGCTTTTTGAGTAAACTGATGAGGGAATTAGGTTTAATTTAAAGGATATTCAATCTATAGGACTCTGTAGCATGTCAGATTTGAAGGCGCACGTAGCACCTGTTTGTAACTCTTTAAACCAAAAAAAATATTTTTCTGATCCTGCAGCTGCCATGCAAACCTGGGAAAAGGAGCTTTGGGTTCAGGGCACTGCGAGCAGGTGTTACACACATTCCTCCATGCACTCCAAAGCAGCATTTCACTTTCAAATCTGAAATGCTGCAAGTTCAACTATTCCATGTGATTTATTTATACATTATATCAGAACAGGGTAACAGAAGGTCTTTCTTGTGGTTTTCATTGCCCTCATAATAATACTTCTGATTTTCAGTGGCAAATTACTGAAGAACTGTTGTTTCCTAATATTCTTGGTATAAAAACACACAGTAATGGTCCCTAAATTATTTGTTTATATGTGAAACCCTCCACATGCCAGCTCCATACACTTCAGTTATTTCACTGTTGTTTGTTCTTTAGTAACTCTACCTGTTTTATATTATTAATGAAATGGTTAATAATCCATTAATCAAAATTTGGAATAATTTCATTTAAATTCATAAAATATTAATTGTCCTTAAATTTTAGGTCAGGTTAAATGCTACTCATTTATATTCTAAAAGTTAAAACAGGATTTTAATGTGATTGACGGCACAATGCAATAACCTGGTATTCAGAAAATATTAATCCAAAACAAGTATTTGCAGCTATAGTTTTTTTTAGTTCATTACTATACTCCTACTAAAATCTCATAATCATAAGGATGTTAATCTTTCACATGGAAATAAGAAAACTAATTTGTAGAAAGCAGTTACTTTAGACTTAAGTAACTTTAACTAAGTTACTTTAGACTTAGTAGTTATTTATGATATTTTTGGGTGTGATGATGGGTAAATGAGGAAATTTGCAATTAAAATGTTATGATTTGATCTAAACTCAATATAGATTTGATTATATCTTTTATATCAAGTGATTTATATCATTTTGGTAAATAGTTAATCAGCCAGAAGAACGTACTGTATCTGATAAATCATTTTATTTTTTCACAAAGCCTATGAATAATACCTCCCTCTTTTTTTTTACAGAAATATGTAACAGATGAATGCTTCTTTTTTGAACGCTTGGAATCTAATAACTATAACACATATCGGTCTCGTAAATATTGTGATTGGTACATTGCACTGAAACGAACTGGTCAATACAAACTAGGACCAAAAACTGGACGAGGACAGAAAGCTATTCTTTTTCTTCCAATGTCTGCCAAAAGTTGATTTGAGTGTCACAGCTCATAAAATATTGTGCAACAATAGATGTTCCCTCCTCCACAATACAAATTAATGTGATATTTTCCAATATTTGCTGATTGATTTCATATCATTAATGTGTAGAACTGTAACACTGAAAACCGTTTTCATTCTCCATTTATATAAGGGTGTTTGTATGTGCATACTAACCTGAGTGTGGCATGAAGACATGGTTCCATTTAAATATGTTGGTTAGTTAAGTATTTCCAACTAGATTTTATAATCATTTTAATCTGATGGTTTAGGAGTAGAATTCTGATTTAGGCTATTGAATGTGAAAAAGGTTTTAAAATATGCATAGTCTACAGCAGGGCTTTTTTTCTCGGAGAAAAGGTGGCGGAACTCAAACCTGGCCACGCCCTCATCAAACCCTAGGACCGCCCCTTTAGAGAACAGGAATGCAAGTAAAATTTGGGAGGGGCTATTTCCGGTGCGGCCGGCCCGGAAAAAGGTGCCGGAACGCGGTTCCGCCGCGTTCCGGCTGAAAAAAAGCCCTGGACTCTACAGAGTCTTTATTATTTAAGGGTAATATCTTTTTAAAAGACATAAACATAAATATTGATTTTAATCTGGAACAAAACACACAAACACAGATTTTGATTTCAAATAATTTTTGATTACAAAGAATATCAATTTTACTGCATATCTGTCACATTTCTATAACTTTCTGGCAGCTCTCTGTGATACAACTTATAGAAAAGACCTGTATACATAGCTGGGAATTCTCTCATAGATATATCAATTTGATCAAACCCTTCCCGATATCCATAGAGAAGTAATCTAGCTATATTGCTAGTGATTGGAGTAGTTTCTTTTGTCTTGGAAAGGTCTGTTAGGTCCATCCATTCACATCTTAAGCACTCCTGCTGGCAGAAATTAATATGGAAAGAAGAAGGCTCCAGACGGCAGATTATGTACATATCTGATTTCCCAAAGGCTCCAGGTTGCCCATGTTGCTGTCGCATGCTTAGAATAGACTTGAATTCAGATGTTATACCTGTCTCTTCAAAAACTTCTCGAACTGCTGTGTTCCCTAAGAGGAAGAATGAACTTATATACTACCGGTAGTGTTAGTGAGAAATTATAATTTTAGGAGCTTGTAAAATATTGTTTTTTTTAAATCCTCATGCAAACAATCATTATAGAGAATTCAGTTGCTGTAGAGCAGGGGTCCCCAATCCCCGGTCCATGGACCGGCACCGATCTGCAGCATGCCAGCAACCAGGGCGAGCAAACAAGCTCCATCCATGGGAGGGAGGCAGGCAGTACACAAAATCTCCGGAAAAACCATGGAACCGGTCCCTGGTGCCCAAAAGGTTGGGAGCCACTGCTGTAGAGAGTAAGGAAGATAACCTTGGCAGAGATATGCAGAAGCCATTGTCTAGACTACTATTATAGCCACTCTCAATAAAAGTAGTTTTAGGCTTCCTGTAGAGTTTCATTAGGTCCACCTAATGAAGCTGACATCGATCTTACATGTTCAATTGTGTTGTAACTCTTTGCCCCTAATTCAGTCAATTAGGGAAGTGTTTGCCTGAGCGACTTCCAAATGTTATCTCACTCTTCTGGACTTAAATGCTTTAGCCTTTTTTCTCTTGGCAACAGCTCTTGCTTATCTCTGTCAAGGTCATCTTCCTTACTTTCTACAATTAATTATATTCTAAAATAATTGTTGAAGCCACTTTAAAAAAGATATATATTTTAAATTTGAAAGCTTCTAGTAGAAAACAGTTGGTCAAAATTATCTATGCATTTTAAAACTAATGCAACATAATATTGTTTAATTACTTATTAATGTATGTAACAAGCATAACTTAATGATTTTCAATTTTTTTTAATTTTCAGTGCAATATGAGTGTACTGCTGTTACTAAAAATGAGATATTGTTATCTTTTTGAATATTTTTGGCAATAAATATATTATTTGGCAATCATTTATTTAATTGTCATCAGATTGAATTGAGTGTTACTACTTGTGTCTAAATACTGATAAAAGAGGTATTTTTAATTGACCAGGTGTACTATCTGTCCCCTTGCCCTCCCAAGATTTGTTCTAAAAGACTCGGAGACCCTCCACAGCAGATTTGGGAGGATGCATTTATCAGGAGAGCAAGAGAAACTCAACTGTGTGATTTTTGGTTTGAAACCACTACATTTCAACTTAGGATACATTCTTGAGAGGAATAAGCAGTACTAGCCACAATACAACTTCTATACAAACATTCAGGGCCATAGCGAAAAATTTATACCCAGGAATACATTACTTGGGAGCAACTGCCATTAAACTGATGCATTTGGGCTTTCTGAAACATTTACCAAAGTGATGATATTATAAACATTTACAAAACCAAAAAAACAGAAAATTAATTATGATTCAGAGTCCTAATATAGTAATCTTTGACTTACAACAGTTTGTTTAGTGACCGTTCAAAGTTACAACGGGACTGAAAAAAGTGATTTATGATCATTTTTCACACTTATGACCATTGCAGCATCCCCATAGTCATGTGATCAAAATTCAGATGCTTAACAATTGACTTATATTTATGATTGCTGCAATGTCCCAGGGTCATGTGATCATCTTTTGCAACCTTCTGGCAAGCAGTCAATGAGGAAGCTAGATTCACTTAACAACTGTATTACTAACTTAACTGCAGTGATTCACTTAACAAATATGGCTAGAAAGTTCTTAAATGGGGCAAAACTCACTTGCTTAGCAATAGAAATTTTGAGCTCAAATGTGATTGTAAGATGAGGACTACCTGTACTGCCATCCTCCCCTCCAAATTAGCTGGGGATTTATGATATCAAATGTTTATATAGAGAGCTTTAAAGTCTCTAATGAAAAGTAATGTCCCAAGTACTTTGAGGATACATTTCAGCAGCTATTTAATTTAACACCTCAGATTAATTTCCTCAATCTCCCTTCATATATGAAATAAAGGGGATATATACAGACTTAATTATCTTATTAGCAAAGCATGGTTTCCCTTTTCATGTGTGTCATTACTTTCATTTCTGAGATAGCTAAATTAGCAACCATTCCAATAAGACAGTTTTTATCAGTGCTATCATTTAACCATTTCTAAAAAGGCTGAATAATAAGCCATTCTGCAAATTGCTGTTTGGCCTTTATTTAACAAGACGTCTCTTTACCGTTCAAGTAATAATGGATATCTCTATAATTTAACTGGACAACAGCCACATTAAATATGAGATATTCTATAAAATATATAAGAAAATATTTGTATTAAATAATAATACCAGCTGTTTTGATTTAGTATAGAATAACTCATTTACTCAGTTACAACTAGAAATCCCAAATCTTTATAAGAAAATTTCAACTAAATTCTGAACATGACTACTTTGAAGTGTTTATAAATCCTATTTGAAGAGAGCCTTGGAGGTATCACAAATCACAACTAAGTTCTCAAATCTGCAAGTTTTGGCACCAATTTATAACATGCTTACCAATGTCTTCACCCGGTTCAGATAAGCCTCCTGGAAATTTCCATGTATTTCTTGTCTTAAAAGAAATAAAAAGAACTCATTAGCTAATTTCTTACTGTTTTTGGTCCTTTTTGTGAGAAGGAACTAGAGTTGACTAGTCCTTATTTACAAACTTGTTTTTTCAGATGTGATAATTAAAAACAAACGTCTATATAATATATTGCAAAAAAACCATCTACTGATTCATCTAATGATTGTCAGTTTTGCTGCTCATTATCAAAATAATAAATATAATAATATTAAAGAAGTACTTATACTTTGTGGCCAGTATTCAGAACAGAGCTTTGCATTTGTAAATTCAAATAGTTATTCAAAACAGTAATCTAATCTTTAGGTACGTATATTCTATTTCAGCGGTTCCTTTTTGAAAGCAAAATCCATTCCGTTATTGAGCCTTTCTTCAAAAAGTAACCTAAAACCAATCAGGATGAATCTCAGTTTGTTCAGCTAAGGTACACTTGGCTCCTTTTTCTCTTCAGCCTAACTTTAACAACAGCAACAACAAATAGAAAAGATCACTCTGCTTATATACTTGTTTAAAAAAAAATAATCCTGAAAACAGAAGAGATATGCTATAATTATGCAGTCTTAATGTTTATTTTAAAAAAAAACGGGTGAGGAGACAAAGCCAAAAAACAATTATCACAAAACATTCTGAATAAAATCTATAATTAGCAATATACATTCTACCTGCTTAATCATGATCCTGCGTTTTAGAACATAGGGAAGATTCATTTCAAAGACGATATCTTGACAATGTTCTGTCCCTTTATTTTGATGCTTCCAGATAGAGTATTCTTTTTGTTTAGTTTTGGAGTAATAGTTTCCCAGTTTTATAGAAAATATAGACAGCTAAGGCCAGCCCCTTAGGGGAGTTGACTGTTGTTTTATCCAGTCAAGTGACATGCTCCATCTCTGACATCAGAAGTCTAGCTGGCAAATCAGAAAGTATCTAGCCATCAAACCTCTTTCTACATACACTCAATTGAATGGGGAAAGATCTGTCCTAATTGGTTAAAATACTGTGTAAAAAGAGAGGTATGAAACATCAAGAGGCAGAAAAAAATTATGAGTAGAAGTAATCCTTGATTTACAACTGGTCTCTAAGCAACTGTTTGAAGTTACAACAGACCTATCTGGGCAGGGCACTTACAACCCAGATTCAAAATTATCACAGTCACTCCCCCTGTGAAAACAACCACACTTCAGGTGCTTGGCATTTACAGTCATTTGCAGTGTCCCACAGTAATATGACTATGTTTTACAACGGTTTTGGCAAAACTGGCACATAGCGAACCATAGGTTTGCTTAACCATGGTAGCGATTGCTGGAAAAAAGATCATTAAAAAAAATGGCTGACCCACTTTACAACTGTCATGACTTTAATTGTAATAGACAGGTTCCATTACAGTTGCAACTTGAGGACCACCTGTGCAGGAATATTCCCTTTCTAAAATGCAGTGAAATTATCAGGTATTTTCTAGCAGGGTTTTATAAACCGTTCTGAGCAAACCTAGGGTTTTGCAAAAATTGAATGGAGTTCCATTAAGTTGATGGGGGAAAATAAGGGCAAAAAAGTAATAATAAAAAACTTCAATGAAACACAACCAGTTCTCTGTCACTACCGTTTGTCTCTTAATCTGGAATTCTGAGATATTTTTTTAACAAGTTCTACAGCCTGAAAAAAGTTTAAACCTCCCTACATATAGAGGTCTCTACATATAGGACATATAGAGATCTCTTAGAATGGCGTTAACCAGGAAAAAATTCTGATACAACTTGGACATTTTTTCAGTTGCAAAAGGAGAAAAATCACTAAGCTATTTTATTTTTTTAAGGCCATCTGATTCTACAAGGATCTTGGGCAACTTACAAAAATATCAAATATATAACTGAAACCCAGTTTAAAATATAACAAAACTTAACTGTCCAGAGATGAAAACAACCATAATATTAACCAAACAAGACAGTGGTTCCATCAGAACCCCAAATGCAGCCTGGGAGCAGAGCCAGATCTTAAGGGCCTTCCGGAACACTTGGAGAGTGGGAGCCACATGTACCTCCGGGGTGATGCTATTCTAGGACAGGAAGAACGAATTTCTTAAGCTTCCAACTCATTGTGCAGGTGGATGTCCTTACTCTAACCTCTGTTCAACTTGTTCTTCTAAAAACAGTAGCTATTCATGTGTATTTGTCACTGTTGATAACAGTAAGCCAACCTCCCTGTCAGATATGTTGCACTATACAGTATCTCAGAATTCCCAGGTGGGATAGCTTCTATTCACCAAAGTTAATTTAATCTAAGTGGAAAACTCCACTTAAGGAAGATTGTTCTTGGCAAATCAATTAGGTCAATATTGCAGTCATCTCTACCATGTAATAAACAAGTATGTGTTTGTGGAAAAGGGCACATTCTGTCTTGTGGGAAACAATGATGACTTCCTAAAGGAGATAGCCTGTTCTATCTAGAGCACTGGGTAAATACCAGTTCACAAAATATTAATAAGTTCTTGACTACTGCCTTTTTAAAACCATCTGACAAAATAAATATTTTGTTTCATAAGATTCTAAGACTTTATTTTCAGCCACTGGAAACTGTTCTGTATTTTAATTGGCTTTAGCCCTGATGACATCATATAAGCAGTTCTTGAAATAAATTGACAAAATACAGGTCACTATTATGCAAATACAAGCTGATGAGAGAGAGAGAGAGAGAGAGAGAGAGAGAGAGAGAGAGAGAGAGAGAGAGAGAGAGAGAGAGAGATGCAATCACAAATACATTTCTAAAATTAAAAGAAGCTTTATCAAATTTCAAGTGATTTTTTTAAAGGCAACAAACTCAATCCTTAAAAAGTATGATATGACTTTCAATAAACTTTTTTTATTTAAAAATGTGCTTTATAGCATTTTAAGGAATAGTCATTAATTTTATTTCTATTCAGTTATTTCTCTAAGCGTAAAATGAGAAGTTCAAAAAAATTCTAGATTGTGGAAAATATTTAGTAAATGAATACTGCATGATTCTCTACAGCAGGGGTGTCATCCGGAAGCCACGCCCACCTGATTGCCAGCAATGGCAAAACCGTCTCGATACGTTGTGCAACGTCAGATGATGTCGTGAGTTTGACATGTCTGCTCTACAGGGTCTTCTTCGGTTTGGTTCTTAGGCTATAGAACAGAGTTGTCAAACTCAATTTCATTGAGGGCCGCATCAGCACTGCGGTTACCCTCAGGGGGCCGGGTGGGTGTGGCCAGGGTGGGTGCGGCCTACTGGGTGGGCATGGATGGAGTGGGTGTGACCTACTGGGTGGGTGTGGCCAGCTCGTTCGCGTCAAGTGTGCCTGTGGGGGCCTGGGCAGGAGTGGGACAGATCTGAGGGTCTCTGGCAGAAGGGGGTGGGACCAGGGCAAGTGCCAAGGCATGGTCCACTGGAGGAGCCTCATTGTTCCTCTCAGGCCATGCGGGGGGGGGGGGCTTATGGAGCTAAGACTGAATGCGTTTCAGCATAGAGGGTCACCACAAAATTGTACATTGGCTCCCAGCTGGCCTGGGCCAGGGCCAAGGCAGAGGGGGCCGTTCCCTCACTGTTTCCAGGATGGCTTCGCGGGCCACATGAAACCACTTCGCTGGCTGCATCCAGCCCCCGGGCCTTGTGTTTGACATGTCTGCTATAGAATATGCTCATATAGCTTTTGACCAGCTATTAACCAACTTATTAAAATATAAACTTATAAAAATGTATTTTTAAACTTGTGTAGCCTGTGTTTGAGTTTTAATACAAACCAAAGTGTGGCTGTAAATCTGGCAAGTTATAAAATTATGAAGCATAACCACAATAAAAATATGAGAATGAGTTAACCCAGTTGCCATTATGCTTCAGTGAAAGTAGCAGAAAGCATAATTGTTGCAGATTACCACCAACAAATTATTCCAATTTTCCAATCAATTGGACTTGTGTTATCCATTCCTATTACTGTTCAATCAATGTACTCCAGACATGTCAAACTCAAGGCCCGCGGACCAGATCTGGACTATGATGTGTTTAGATCTGGCCTGCAAGCAGACTAGTAGGAGGAGGTGATTGAGTAGTTACCTCATTTTTTTGTGTGTCTTGTCGGTGGCAGCAGCGCTAGCAGAGGACTGGCAGCGGGAGCCTCTCCAATGTGTGAAGCTGTGTGCAGCGGTAACCGCAGAGGCAGGTGGGCCTGGCTAAAGTGCCCTCTGCTTGAGAGCAAGTGGCTGGCGAGGGAAGGAAAGGGAGAGGACGGAAGGCACTCGGATCATGTGTTTCTTTAGTTCTCATCTCTCCCTGCCTCGCCATCTTTCTCTCCTTCTCTTCCTACATCTGTGCTGCATTTTCCTATAAATAGCCACTCCCCTTGCAAACTTTTCCCCAAAGACGCGAGGCAACATGAGATGGGAGGCTTTAATATGATATGTAGTCTTAAACACAACTGGCCCTTTGAGGGCAACCATAATGCTGATGCAGCCCTCAGTGAAATTGATGTAGCCCCTGGAAACTATTACAAAGCACCAATGGATCAGAACTCTCTGATGCTAAGAATTCTTCTTTCCCGTCTAGGCTATTGCATTATCTGTTTAAAAGCTTTCTTCTTCTGAAGCTACATCAGTGGAATTATTTGCATTTGAACTATTCAACTGGATTACATGAGTTCTAGTTTATAGAACTGGATAAGTACAAAATTCCTGAAATAAAATTATTGTTGATAACAGGACATACTTTTCAAAAGTCTTTTCAGCATCTCTTATAGGTCAAGGTTAAATCATTTTGACTATTTTCAAGGTCAAATCATTTTGCTCCAACTTTACACCAATCAGAAATACTTGACTTCAACTCCCTAATTCCCATCAAAGGCTACTAGTCATACTAGCTAAACTTATGTCATCTACCAGTCATGTGAAAAAGAAAGTATCATTTTGGCTTTCTTTTTGTAAAATAAATGATGACATGGTATAATATGTCATGTAGTGTTGTTCATCTGAGATTGTATTTATCTACCTTTGAGAACTGTCAAGGACCAGATGATTTTTATATATGTCCTAATACATAAAACCACAGAATTCAAAGAGAATGTACTTTCTTTTTCACATGGCTGTATAGCCCTATTACAACTGGAAAATGTCAGTTTGGTGAGGCTGTATCTTGTTTCCAAAAGAATGTTTTTTTAAAAAAAATATCTGAGTGTTGATTTTTGTAATTTTTCTGTTATAGTATTTATAGTTGACTTTGATTATTTTTAATTCTTGTTCCCTTCATGTGTGCAGTGAGATCAATAGATAGCTATCCCATCTTCTGTAATAATATTGTCCCTACTGCATAATGGATCTTGGAAGGGCATACTTTTTTTCTAACAGTGGCTTGGTTTTCTCAGCAAAAGTGCATTCTGCATAGATACGTAAGTATTTTGGGGGAGGGCAATTGGTGGTTAGGTTATTTGTAATGTTGTGGATATAGTCTCCAGCATTGCTATGTAGGGTTTTCTTCCTATGATTAATCTATTACATCTAATATTGGTTTATCATAAGTTACCACTACTTTATACTGGGTTTAACCTTGTAATAGTTATTCCCCATAACAGCCAATTTTATTTTATGTCCTTAAATAATAGGTAAATCACTATGGGTTACTACTTACACACTGGTGTCTAATTTTGCCTGCCTTTTTGCCTCTGCTATAACTTTTAATGAATTTTCTTCAAATAAATTAAAATAGACATCCAATAGCTTATTTCTAAAATCTTAAATGATGTCTGCTGTTTCCAAATTCCTGAAAGTAGCAAAAACATTCTATTGTTCTTACTATTATAAGAATTTTCATTTTTGTTCCCAGTGGAAATTATTAAAAACCCACGCAATACTATCCTGAATCTAAGAACCAAAAGTAATGGTTCTACTTCTTTTAGTAATTTATTTATTAATTAAATGTTTACTCAGAAATGTTTCATTATGTTCAGTAATGCATCATGTTTCTATTTTATGCTTTATAGGATATATTAACAAATGGTTAAATATCAACTGCAGCCCCAAAAGCAAATAATACCCCCACATAAACTGAGAAACAAAACCAAATAAGCAAACAAAAGTCTTAATTAACTCAAACACAACACAATTACGGAGAATGCATTGACCCCCCCCCCAAAAGATGCCAATATTAAGTTTCAGTTAAAAAAAAATAACCCTCTCAGTGAAATTTAACATTCAGAAACTTTCAAAACTTTGCTTTCTAAAAATAGAACTGGTGAGGAAATCAGCTCATTGCTATTCCAATTGATTTTGGATTTAAACTGACAGAAAAGAATGAGTATTCATCTTATCTGTCATTTTAACTGCAGATGGAAATGGAATGAAGTTTATTTAACCATTATTAACTTATGCTGAGAAAAAAATTAATAGGGTTGCTTAACAATATAATATGTATTCATATTAGAAGAACGGAATTAAGACATAGGAACTTAAAGTTGGTTCAAGACTTTGCATAATCCTATCTTGGCATAAACACATAATTTGAGAAAGTGTGCAGCAATCCATGTAAAGGATTATATTACATCTTGAGCTAAAATGCTGGATCTCAAGTCTTGTTTTTCTCCACACAAAATTCTTTGTCTAAAGCAGTAAAAGCCTTTTGCTCAAGAAAAAGGCCTCTTAATCCAAATCAAATTAAATACATTATAAATAATGTGACGTACTTACTTTATTTTTGTCTTGAACAACTAATACTTTCCCAGTGTGGGTATCTAATACAGCACCTGTTGGCGGACAGAATATTTTCTGTTTTATCAGAGAAATAGTAATGCCATGATTCACTTCAAAACTAGTATGGAACTTCCTCTCTATCAAAACCACTGGAATAAAGTTTTAGTTCTTGATTACAAATTCCTGGAGACTATAAATTATTTTCACTCATAAACATCTCTGTCATTGATTTTTCACCTTACTTCAATTTTAGAAGCATTTCTAACTAAATGGTTGATTCTGTATGTATCTTAGCAAGTAACATATAAGGTTACTTGCAGATTACACAAAAAATTAATACAAGGCACAACTATTTCCAAACAAAGGAAAACCTGAAGAATGAGACTAAAAATAACCCTTCTCTTTAAAAGAGTAATCACACTTCTGTATGTGGGAGAGAATATTTTGTAAATGCAGCAGCAATCCGGAACAAAATTTCTGAAAGGACATTCCTTTGGAAAGTACTCATCAATTTTCTATATTCTACAATGAGTATGATTTCATCCTTCTGATATATATGACTGTTATGTGCTAGCTAGTGTGGAATTCTGTTTATTAGTCAAACTGGAAGTTTGGGCTAACTTTGAACTTGTCTGTTGTTATGCTAAGACTATATTTAGTCTCTTTATAAGAACATACATCTCAGCTGCTAAAACCTATCAAGCCCACTGAAACAACCTTCCGGCTTATCCATATTGGGACCAGTAATGCCACCAAGAAGAATACAATTATATTATCTCACATTTTGAAGCTCTAGGAAGGAGTTTCAAGGATTTGAAGCATAGCAGGTGCTCTTATCAATCCTTCCTGTCCATACATATTACAGGTAAGCAGTTAAATGTGGGAATTATGAAGCTCGCTCACAGTCTGGGTCAACTTCCATTCGTTGTTTTTAAGAAATACAGGAGAACGAATAAGGTACCAAATGACTGGAAAAGACAATGTTTTCCTATGTCCAAACATAAACAAAAGGGGGAACTGGAGAACTACAGCTGTCTGTTCAACATTAACATGCAGAGATCACTGAAAACAATGTAGCAACTTCCAGATGTCATAAAGGATTTGTTAAGAACAAAACTTACTGGCCTATTCATATTTCATTTTTCAATTAGATAAATACCTAGTTTGTGGCAATGTGATGGACATACTGTAATCTTGATTTAGTGTCGTATCTGGCATACTACTCTATTAAATTTTAATTAGCAGATAATAGATTATAGGGCATATCAGCACTATTCCTCATTACCAGTCTGAACTCAATGAGCAAGTTCTCAGTTGTGAAATAAGTAAAATAGGGCTGTTTGTGTTACATTTGCAAGAAAATAATTCATACCACATAATGACTGTATAATGTATACATACACTGAAATGACTTTCCCAAGTTGATTTGACGGACAGCTTTCCCCAGCCTACATTTTGCTTCTTTTATGTTTTGGCCATCCTGGATATAAACACCTGCAGGGTTTTGTCTAAATCATATATAACAGACATGTCAAACTCGCGACGTCACGTGACATTGCGCAACGTATCAGGACGGTTTTGCCATTGCTGGCAATGGGGTAGGCGCGGCTTCTGGATGATGTGTCCGGCCTGCGGGCCAGCAGTTTGATACCCCTGATATATAATGTCCCATACATGTTAGTAGGAAAGTCATGCTGTGAATTCTGCCCCTTTGAGATATAAAAAAGTAGTAACCTAGAAGCAAGCTTTACTGGTCCTAGCCTTCTTGATCTGGAATAGTTTCCCCTTAAATTAAGATGGTCCCTTTCCTAGAGAGGGCTGCCTGTAAAGCACTGTGAAGTGGTATATAAGTCTAAGTGCTATTGCTATTGCTATTGCAAAAGAACATTCATGATACTGCTGTTCTAAAAAGCCTGCAGGGCAAAGGAACCACACGAGTGAAAGCCACATTAAAATTGGGGTAGGTTATCTTGGAAGACATTTTATGTTTGCAAGTATGTTTTAATTTGTACTTTATTGTGCACTGGAGGTGAATGAATCTAAAAGGAATTGGCATAATAGAATTTGCAAAGAAAAAAAAATCAGAATTAAAATCCATCACATCTGGAAGCCTGAATCAATGTCTTGCTGCAGTATGAGGAAGGGAAAAGTGTTGCTAGTAATTGACTAAAGGAAGAACGGTGAAACAAGACATTTGTTCAGGCCTAAAAGTGATTTTGGAAGAAAGGGAAACTGTATTATGCTATTGCATTAATTTATTTCTGAAAAAGACATTGAAAATAAATTGGGAACCAGAAAGTTTGAGAAATTCATTACATGAAAAGGATGGTACATTCATTTTACAAGAACTTGATTGACAGTATGAAGAGAATTAGGTCATTTTTTGTGAAAATATATTTTCTTGTTTGGAATTTATATTTTGTATTCATTTTACCATTCTTCATTGTAATACATGATTACATAGACATTAGTACTATTAACAGTACTATATTTATATTGGAGACTTGTTATTGTGTAAAAAGATTTGCAAGAAGATTGACCTTTTGCAAAAAAAAAAAAAAAAAAAAAAAAAAAAAAAAATAAAAA